TTTGCTTATATGAGAAAAATGTTTCTGAACTTTGTTTTTAATGTCATTTGAACAAAAGTTACAACTCATGTTAAAATTAGGAATTTGCTTTTAATGCTTGAATTTATTATTTCCCATATTTGAAATTCAATTTCATTATTTTCATAAATCATCATGTGCATATATGGATGAAATTATCTTTTGATGCAATGCTTATATGGTCATGATTCTTGAAAATGTTTAAATTGTTTATTTCTTTGTTTTTGCAATAGTCTTGAAATATGCTTTAATTTTTTATCTTTAATTGTTGATTCAAGATTTATTTGTTCTCTTATATTTGTGAATTGATGAACTTTTTAAGCTTAAAGGAAATATTTGATTATTGGTTCATCTATAGTCTTGGTCAAGATAGGTGCTTATATGATGGATGATTCAACTTGACCTTAATGCTTGTGATTTGAAACGCTAAAATATTTATGTCATGATTTTGCAAAATATTTTTGAAATATGTTTATTTTTGTACTTAATTTATTTATTTCTTGATTTTTGCTTTTAAATTTGATGCATGACAAACTACTTGATTTTAAATAAAATATATTATTGATTCATCTATTGTTTTTGTCAAGTGTATACCTATATGATAAATATTATTTAGCGTAACTTGACATGCTTGCAACATAACTTAAATGAGAAATTTTTTTGGAATGCTTAATTTTACTATAAGTCATTGTCCATTATGACCTATAATTGGTGTAGACATATTTATTCTCTTATGCTAAATTTTTTTTGAATATATTTGAATATTAAATATGTCTTACTAGTACTTATTGTCTATATGGCCTAAAAGAATTGATGTTTTGCACATTACTTAAGAACTTTTACTTCAATGCCAATCTATTTGATGGTTAATTTGATACATGGCCTATACCTTAAGTTAATATTGAATGACTTTTTTTGATTGAATGTATCTCCCTTGTAATTGGCAACTTGTGCTTAATGGACAAAACAATTTTGCCTATGACTTGGAATATGAAACTCATTTTCTAACAATTGGTATTCTTGATGCTACTAATGAATTCTTTTGTCAAAGATTTTTCTAAGTCTATGCAAGGATACTTGAAATGTGCTTGAATGAATCTATATTGGAATTTCAAATAAAGCAAGCAAAACATTTGCTCAAAACATTTGGAATGAAGAATTCAAAGCCTCACTCAAGTAAATGAGCACAACAACAAGTTTGATAAGGATGAAGTCTAAACTTTGTAGGTCTACGATTGATTCACTATTTTATCTTATTATAAGTAGACCACATATAATATTTGGTACATGATTTGATAAATGCATGCTGTAATATGTGCTTAAAAGACTTTTTTTTAATGCTTATATCAATATATATATATATATTTTATGTGCAAACATGTGATATTGTACTTGAATTTGTTAACAATTTGCACAAATTGGTTCTTAATTGCTTTGATGAGATTAATGATCTTTGATGGATAAATATTTATTTACGATGAATCTTTGAACATAGTTATGAGTTGAATATATTGATTCCTTAAACTTTAATTACTTTGATTCATAGATTATGAACTTGTTATATGAAATTTTATGCATGATCATTGATTGAAATCATTGAGATAACATGTACCACATTATGTCTAAATGTTTGTATCTTTTTTGGTATATTGCTATGCTTGATTTAAAATGTATTTGCTTGTGCTTGTATAATTAAAACATAAGTTTGAATTATATTTAGATACTTGCCCATGTTTAGATTGAGTACATTGCTATACATTGAAATGACTTGAAATATATTTGAGTGATGTCCATCATGTATTGAATTTTGGAATAATCTTGTTTTTATGATTTCTTTAATATATCATATATGTTCATCATGTTAGGAAAATCATGCTCGTATAATCTTCTTATAACATAATGAAGGAACCCCATTACTCTTTAGAACTCATGCATCATTAAATAAATATGAGTTATGTTTTTGTTGAATATTTAGCTAAATAGAATATGCTTATAAATTTTTTTTTTCATTTTAGATTTATTGATTGAATCTCTCATATGCATAATATATTTGCTCTTTGAAAGTTAGTGGACAAAATTGTTAATGAATTTTTAAACTTTCATGGATGCTTGTGCTCAATATGAAATATGTTCCTATCTTTAATATAACTTGTACCTTTCATGCAAAATTCTGGTGCCATAAATTAATCTCTTTTTATTTTGAAATGGATAGAAATCTTAAAATACAATTTTTCTTGAATTAAAATGATTTGTTTAGTGATAACATAACTTTAACAACTGGTATGAGCTTGAATATATGTGGTTACATAATATTGATGTTTTACATTCTAAACACATTTTACAATGACATGATTTATAAGTGGCATGCATATCATTCTTTTATCATTTTGTTCATAAGTTTCATGTAGTAAATTTGATACTATTGTGTTAAAATGCTAAAATTGGATACATTGAAAAACTTTTATGTTCTTGTGCCTGAATACATGTATTTGAACTTTATTGTGCGTATTATACTTGTATACATGAATTCATCATGCTCTAAATTGAAATATCTTCTTAAAATTATTTGATCATGAATGTTGTCCTATGTCTTGAATTGATTTTCTTTTTTCTATGACAAAAAGATGGAGAAATATTTTGTGAACAAATTCGCTTTCATATACATATATGTGTTTGTGCTTAATAGATATTTATGCTTTAACATATTATGAGTGTTGGATTAGGATGAAGAATGCATTAGTTGAAAATGGAGCTTTTCTAGGAAACAAGCATTGTTTAAGGGGGAGTTTTTCAAAATAATTTTTAAAAATTCTTAAATGTTTTAAAGAAAGTTTTTTATCAAACAAATTTATCTTTGTGTCATATCAAAAAGGGAGAGATTTTTAATTGATAATTATTTTGAAACGACAAAACAATATTGCTAAAACTTGGAATAAATTGTTTTACACTCAAAAAGAAAGATTTTCCAGCAATTTTTTAGATGAAAAATTATTTGAGATCAAAAACAAACTTCTTTCCTAGTTTGAAACATGTTTTATACAAATTTGGGAAAAAGGGATCAATTTCTTTATGGATAGGATCAATCTCCTTACAAAATGGATCGATCCATTCTAGGAATGGATCGACTAGTGTTTTATATAGAATGGTCCTGAGTTTGAAAATTGAAAAAATGGATTGATCGTCTTTGATAATGGACCAATCGGTTTTAGGGTAACAAAAATGGATTGATCTCCTTTGAAAAAGAATCAGTCGATTTTTTATCTAGAAAGCAAATTGATTTCAAAACTTGCAAAATGGATCGATGCCTTACAAGAATAGATCGATCAGGTACCAAAATAGTTTGATCCATTCCAAAATGGATCAATTAGTTTTTGTTTTGCAAGAAATGTATTGGCTTGAAAGGCAAAAACAATTAATCCCTTCCAAAAATGGATCAATTGGTTTAGCCCATAAAACCTCTAATGACTACTTTGGAAGGAAAAAAACTTGTATTTTCAATTTCCAATATTCTGCAATGGCTACAAACTCATTTCTTCTTTAAATTGGGCATTCCAACACACCATTGAACCAAGAAAGCAAGCACCAACAAGCTTTACATTCATTTTCTCAGGAATTCAAGAGCATTCTAAAGATCATATCTTTATTCTTCCCATTCTTGTATCCAAATTATATTTTCTCTTCATTTATCATTCTTTTTACTTAAATTAGGTAGACATTTAACCTTTGAAAGGTATTTCATAGTTTGCAAATTCTTTTGTATTCAAAAGGGATTTTTGAGTCAAAAGGTGAGGTATCATCTTGAGTAAGATTGATAGAATTAGGTAAAATCCTAGAAAGGGTAAAGGTTGCTATCTTGACCTTGAAAGATAAGGATTGTATTTTGTAATTTAATTAGTGGATTAAGCTTGGTTAGAAAGCTAAGGGAGAGGACTTAAGTGCCTTTGAAGAAGGACCAAACCTTTATAAATCTTTATGTTTGATTTCTCTATCCCTACTCTTTTATTTTCATTCTTGTTTAAATGTGCTTTAATTTTCTTTATTATTGTTAATATCATCAATTTTCCATCAAATATATTATATTTTTAATTTTCCATTTACATTTATTAAAAATTTATTTTTGAAAAAGAATTTAGAGACAATTCAATTCACCTCCCTCTTGGATTGTTATTTACACTTAGCTAATACTTACAAACATATTAAGGGCTTTAAAATTTTTTTAAAAAATATTTTTTGAAGAATAAAACCTTACCAACATATTGGAAGGTTTAAATTTTGAAAAGAATTTTGTAAATATAAATAAAACCTTACTAACATATTGAAAGGTTAAAATTTTAAAAAATAAATTTTGAAAAAGACAAAAATAAAACATTACCAACATATAGGAGGGTTTTGTAATTTTTAAAAGTCTAAAATAAGGTTTTATCAATACATTGAAAAATCTTATTAATTTAAAAAAATTTATGTTTTAAAGAGAAAAATAAAATTTTCATGAATCCCACTAACATATTGGATGATTTTTTTTAAAAAAAAAATTCTTACAAACATATTATAAGATATTTCTATAAATAAATAATTAAATAAGTGTTTTACTTTATGAAAATTGATTTTGACTCCCTAATGATAGAATTACAAAAAGAAAAAAGTTGTAATAGCAATTTTTATGTAAATTCTTAGGTAAGAAATTATTTTTAAAGTTTATCAATATATTGGAGAATTTTGAAAATATTTACAAAAATTCCACTTGTTATGAATAAAAGTTTTCCATAAAAATATTAATGAATCCAACTATGGAGTTTCTTCAAGTATGATAAATAGTTACTTTAAATACTTTTGAAGTGAGAAAATATTTTTAAAATATTATTAATATATTTGAATAATTTAAGGATAATTTTTAATAATTAATTATCTAGTATGATTTTACTTAACCAGATAGAAGCAGGGGGAAATCATTCTATAAACAAAAGTGTAGCTGAAATCATCAGTAAAAAATAAAGACATTACAACGTAAAAAGACATAACCAAGCAAACAGACACCATCAATACAACAAATAAGAAAGTAACTAAATTCCCCCAATGCTAACATAAATTGGAATTCACTGGATAGCCTGCTGCACGATTCTTGCTTCCAAGTCTCTGTCTTCGTTTGCAATGAAACTTTGAACTGCAAAGAACAGTGAACGTAGAATAGAGAACCTAGTGAATGAGAGCCATTGAGAGAGGAAAGAGAAACTTAGTTTCGTGTATTTTTATTTATTTTAACAGTTTTAATAATTTTATATCATGGGATTGAAAAAGATGGATACAATGTCTTATAGTTATATATTTGGTTCTTATTTACATGCTACGTGCCAAATGAAGAGTAAATTAGTAACAACAAAAAAACATGTTACATACCATATTAAACCTGCTCAATGCTGATTAGAAACTTCTGTTTGATTTTCTTGAGCATAGTCACAACATCCACAATATTGTTTCTATCTTCAGGTAACTCAGCCGAACATTTCAAAGCCAATTCCATGATGGATGATATGCAATTTGCTTTAATAATAAAATATTCATCATCTCTTCTTAATAAATTGGCATCCGCAATATCAATTATTCCTTTGGATAGTGACCTTTGCATCCAATGCCTCATAGTCAATGCTTCACTAAAAATTTCATCTGTTGGCTTCTTTTTTGTGAAGGTTTCTATTAAAAGAATCCCGTAACTATAGATGTCACATTTTACAGAAACAATTCCTGCTGATCCAAATTCTGCATTTCAAGCATAATTGAAATCGTTATTGATCATCAACCAATTCTAAAATGGTTGTTCAACTATATCATGTAAAATCTTGAACACGAAAAAATATAAATAAAAAAGAGAAAAAATAACCATAAGTATTCAAAAGATCACCTGGTGCCATATATCCAATAGTTGCAAGTGTCATGGTTTGTCTCATGAAATCATCTTCTTCCAATAATTTGGCAATGCCAAAATCTCCCAAATGCGCAACCATGTCTTCATCTAGTAGAATATTACTTGGCTTTAGGTCGCAATGGACTATAGGAGTTGGTTGTCCAGCATGGAGGTATTCTAAAGCTGATGCAACATCTATCATTATATTGATCCTCTGTAACATATCAAGAAAATGGTTTTCAGAATGTAACCATTTCTCAAGACTTCCATTAAGCATGAAATCAAGCACCAAGGCTTTGAAGTCGACATTAGAGCAGCAGGTAATGACCTTGACAAGATTGCGATGGACTATATTACGCAAAGCTTCACATTCAGTGTCGAAACTCCTAAATGCTCCCTCTATCTGCAAATTGAAAACTTTTATTGCAACATTCATCCCATCCAAAAGCCTCCCTTTATAAACAGATCCAAAACTCCCTGAACCAAGCAAGTTGCATTCATCAAATCCATCAGTTGCTTGTGAAAGTTCAGCATGTGAAATTCTTCTCCATGTTTTTAAAGATAACAAACTTTCCTTAACTGGCAGAGTTATACTCCTACTTTGGCATTTTCTGTACATAATAGTAAAAACTATTATTAGTACTATAGTACCAATTGTAGGTAAACCATACCTTAAAACACGCAATATGGTCTTCTTGGAATTTTTGTGGACTCCACTCTTGCAAGGTGGGACTAGCAATCTAGGTGGACCACAAAGTGCATAATTGTTCATGAATGACGTGTTAGAAAAGTTTCGAAATTGTCCTCCGTTGGGGATTTCTCCTTCCAATCTATTGTAAGAAACGTTAAAATATTTTAGATTCAAAAGCTTCTCCAAAGACTTAGGAATAACTCCAGAGATATTATTATTGCATAAATCCAAGGATTCCAAACTAATCAAGCCACCGAATGATTCAGGAATATGACCCTGAAATTTGTTATTAGATAAATCTAAAGAAACCAAAGTTTCAAGGCTCCCGATTGTAGATGAGATATCACTCATTACTAGATTCCTTGACAAATTCAAATACGTTAGTGCCCTTAAATATCCAATATCAAGTGGATGTGAGCTGCTAAGGTAATTTGACGACAAATCTATTGTTAAAATATCTTTAAGACTCCACAAGGTTGAAGGTATTGTCGAACTCAATTTGTTGGATCCTAAGATAAGAATTCTCAAAGAAGTCAAATTACCCAAACATGTAGGCATAGGTCCTTCAAGCTTATTATAAGATAATCCCAAATAAAATAGTCTCTGCAAACTGCAAATATTTTGTGGAATGGGCTCTTGTAATTCATTAATTTCGAGATTCAAAGCTTGGAAATTTCGTAGTCCTCCTATTGTCACCGGAATAGATCCGCTTATTTTATTGTCGCTAAGATCTAAAAGAAACAAGTTGCTTAAGTTACCGACTTCCAATGGTATATGACCTTGAAGCTCACAACCAGCAGCATAAAAGTTTTGAAGAGACGTTGAAAGATTCCCAATGTAAGTTGGAAGAATGCCATGCAATGGATTTCCTGAAACAGATAGAGTTATCAATTTCTTGCAATTTGCCAAAGAAGAGAGAAAGCTCCACCCGTGAGTAGCAGGTTTTGTGGTCAAATGATTGTGACTAATTTCGAGCAATTCAAGGTGTCTTAAGTTGCCAAGAGAATTTGGAATAATGCCCGAGAAGAAGTTGTATTGTAATTCAAGATCCTTGAGCAGGGAAGCATTTGATATGGAGTTGAGAATGTTTCCGCTAAGATTATTTCCCCATAAGAGAAGCCTTTCAAGCCTTCGAACGGTAGTCATAGGAGGAAAGTTACCTGTTAAAAATTATGTCTTTTATTCATCAATGTTTACCATAATTTTGTCAATGAGAGAAAAAAAAATTATATACACATAACAATTTCACAAATTTCATCTATACATAAAAAAAAAAATTGATTATGAAAAAATAAATTTTGAAAAAAAAATGTATATGTGTACAATTTATGTCTATTTTCATAGAAAAATTTGTATAAATCAATCATCCACCAATCGAATAACTGTCTATTACTTATAACTTTATTTCATTTTTAAATTAAGATCTTTGTTTTAAAAGTGAGTTGTATTAATTACTACCATCAAGGTAATAAACACTCGTAGATACATTTGACATTTAATTTAATGGAGCAAAAAGGATGACTTTTGTCTAGTCCTTGAAATAAGATGAAGCTTAAGATTTCTTTTTTTTTTTTTAATCAAATGACACTAAACTTAATGGTACGCCTATTACAAAGTTTAGAAATTATGGGTGTTAATGGTTAAAGTACAATTTTTGTCTTTTTTATTATAAAATTGTGGATTTTGATCTCTCTTCCTTTTTTTTTTTTTTCGTTATTTTCATCCTTGTATATATTAAATGTGGATTCAATCTTCCTGCCTAACAATTATGGATGAATTGATTTCATGAACCGATAAATTGATGATAGAACAAGTACATGCCAATTTTTGTGTGATTATTTTTTTATAAAGGATGTCATAATTCGAAAATTAAAAAAAATCGTTATAGATATTAAAATTTAAATTTATTAAATATTATTTCTTAAGAGTAATAACATAAACAAATTAAGTTAGATTTCGGATTCTTTTACAGAATTAAAACAAAACAAAACAATATAAAAAAAAATCAACAAGAGAAAAAAAGTGGAAGGTAGAAAAAGTGGAAGAGGCAAAAACAGAGTTGAAGAAAGATCAGAATGCATATTTATTAGAAATATACAAGAATTTAAATTATAAAAATAAAAGAAAAGAGATTAAAATCCATACAGTTGTCATGTATTTAGATTAATTTTGAACTTTAAACACAGCCTTTTTTTTTTATACGGTCAGGAGTACCTTCATTTGGGTCTAACCTTTCTCTAGACTATTTTAGAATATATTGTCCAAAATCAATCTAGTGCATTCAGCATGTTACTCCGAAAGTGTTCATAATAAGAATCAACCTTATGTTGACAAGGAAATGAAATTTGTTCCCTTACCAATTGGACTTACAGCTTGCGAGTTAACCATAGCTTAATTATTCCTTCAATTATATTGCCAACTCATATATAAGACAATTCACATAGTTGATATTCTTGAGTACTAATTCATCCAAAAAAAAAAAACAAAAGTACAAAATCACGCCTTTTGAGACCCTGCATTTTACTTGAAGCTTTGCTTAATAGATCTCGGTGCTTGCGACAACAGTGATTTATTTATTTTTTTCCCATTATGATTCACAGTTTCTTAGTTTTGGCCTTTTGGGTTGGCTTGCTTCCAATAAATTTTCTGCTCTAGAGAGTGCTACCACATATTTTGGAAAGAAATAAGTTTATAGTGTTTGAGAAATCACTAAAAAAATTTCAAAAACGAAATGCATAGGATTTTTTTCAACATGTTTGATAACTCATTTAGAAAATCAACTTGATCTGCAATGGAAAATGTTGGAAACCCTAAATAGTTAAAAGCTATATACAGAATATATATTCAATCTTTCTAATTTAAGGAAAAATTATCTTTTAATTACATTAAACTTATAATATTATATTTATTTTCTTTATTTAACTTTTATTAATGTAAAATATTTTTGAAAAATAAAAATTTTATTTAGTATTTAATTTTCAACAGAATACCAAACAATTTTTAAAGTAAAATTCAGTGCTTAATTTTTCAAAAATAAATATTTTTTAATTCAAAACTGGAAATAAGTTTGGATCAGACTTTAGTTTATACAAATAAAAAAAAGGTAAAATTCTATATGACTAAAATAACTCTAATTAAAAAAAAAGTGAACTAAAAAGAAGAAACAAATAAATAGACAATGGTATTTTTAACTAATTTTTTCACTTTTATTAATGTAAAATACTTAAAAAAAATTTTATTTAATATTTAATTTTCAATAGAATACCAAAAAAAAAATTTACAGTAAAATTCAATATTTAATTTTTACTATTTAATAGACAATGCTAATGTTCGAATCTTGCTGCATTCGCTTATACTTATACTTAATGGAATATAACCAAATCCGGATTCGGATTAGTTAGCATTTTTTTTTTTAGGTTTTATGAAGGATGTAATTATTCCCGCATGCCTTTCGAATTTGGGTTGAGTTCAAGTTTTGAACTTTTTTAAGTTCAAACAATTTTGGATCTGGAAATTTCCAGTTTGAGACACTTTGGATTTGGATTTGTTTTAGACTTTGGTTTTTGATTTTTTTGGTCAAATCTAATTCATACGGGTTTGGGTTTTTTGAACCAATTTTCTAGTTTATTTTACAACCTCTACACATAATTGATATTCCTGAATACTAATTCATCAAGAAATAGGAAACAAAAATACCAAATCAGGCCTTTTTTTTTTTTTTTTTCTTTTTGAGCCTACAATTTTCTTCAAGCTTTGCTTAACTGGTCCTTGCAAGAACAGCAATCCATTTTTTCCCATTACGAAACATTATTTCGTAGTTTTTGGTTAGGCTTCCTTCAATTAAAAAAATTTTTATACTAAAATTTTCTACATTAGAGGGTGCTACCAAATTTTGCTAAAACGAAATCAGTTTTATAGTCTAAACGATACTAGGACGAAAGCAAGAATTATATTACAGATTGATTAACTACTTCAACCATTATTATTTTTAAAGAAAAAATCAAAGGAGTGCTACCTGCTTTCTTGAAGTAGAATAATTCAATTTGTATTGCAAACATTACCTATAAAAAAAAATTTAGCTAGTCTATGGTAGCAAAGAGAGGCTAGAGGTAGACTGCGATCATATTTTAGTATACAAATCAAAAATATTCTAGCACTGAGTCCAATTAATTAGGTTAAATTTGACACAAAAAATTCTAAAAAAATGTGGAACCAAATAACTCTAAAAAGATTACCAACTAAAATGAAGAAACAAATTAAATAGAATGCTTTTAACGTAAAAAAAAATAAAAATTAAAGGCAAAAGCATACCTTCCAATTTGTTTCCAGCTAGATCTACCACTTTGAGCATGGTTAAATTCCCAATACTTATTGGAATGAGCCCGGTGAATTGATTTCTAGCTAATGACCAATACTGCAGGTTGTTGCATTTGCCTATACTTGATGGAATATTACCAGATAATTGATTGTCATACAAGAAAAGCGCCTTAAGCTTGGGAAGATGATGACACATATCATCAGGCAATATACTTGATAAACGATTGTTTCCTAGTGTAACAATGGTCAGAGAAGAAATGTTGAAGATGGAAGCTGGAATCTGACCAGTAAGGCCCATATCTCCTGCACCTAACGTCTCTAAACTAAAAAGATTACCAATTTCTTCAGGAATTTCACCTGCAAACAAGGTAAACAATCAAAGTGTTAGCTTGACTACCAATTTTGTTTATTTCAGTATATTGGTTTAGAAAATTAAATATTTTGCATTGAAAAAATGAAAAAAAGAAATGAAAATGTGTTTAGACTAAAGAATTCAAATTAAAGGTTACCTTCTAACTTATTTAAACCCAAATATACTTCTTTGAGACTTGTTAAATTTCCAATGATTCTTGGAATGAACCCTTTGAATTGATTAGTAGTCAATGCTAAGCTCTGAAGCTTGCTGCATCTGCCTATACTTGATGGAATATAACCCGATAATGCATTTGTGAACAAGTAAAGCACTTCAAGTTTAGGAAGGTGGACACATAAATCATCTGGCAAACTACCAGAAAGACTATTATCCTGGACATAAATCTCTTTCAATGGGGAAATCTTGAAGATGGGAGATGGAATCTGCCCGGATAGTTGATTGGTTCCCAAGCCCAAGATCTCTAAGTTGGACATGTTAACAAGTGTTTGAGGAATTGTGCCTGTAAAATTATTATTGCTCATTCTCAACTCTTCAACCCTATGTAATTTCCCAAGCCATGATGGAATCACCCCATTAAGGCTGTTGAAGCTTAAATGAATGAACCTCAAACGATGTAGTTGCCCCAATTCGTTGGGTAGATTGCCATAGAAATTGTTGTTGCTCAAGTCAAGAGAGAGTAGAAATGAGAGATTTCCAAGATGAGGAGGGATTGTTCCTGTAAGATTCATGTTTGGGAGAGTCAAGGATGTGACCCTTCCATGTCTGACACCACAAGAAACACCAAGCCAGTTACAAACAGAGCTGGAGGCCGTCCAATTGTCTACCAAGACATTGTGAGGATCAAGGATATGGTGTTTAAACTCGAGAAGTGCAAAGTGATCAGTGGTGAGATTCCTCACAGTCATAGCTAAGCTAGCCATGAAACATTGCATAAAAAAAAATGAAAGAAAATGGAAGTAGGTGTCGTTCATGATTGAGGGATGCGTATTAAAAAAGAGTTCGAAAGAAGAAACTAAAGTGATGAAATCGGTAGCTATAGGACGATCAAGGAAGAGCCCATAAACCTTGATTAAATAGGGTAGTCCACGTTTGTTGTTGTCAACGCAATTGGAAAGTAATTTCATTAATTAAAAGATCTTCCATTGGTTTCACAAGTTTCCTCTCCGGTGCTTTACCATTTAAGTCTTCATGATGGAGATTAAAAACCCATTTTTCCATTCATTATTGAGATATTCCTTTCGACTCATTTCACCAACCATTAATTTATAACAAATAACGACTTAAATAGGGTTAATGTTTTCATCTTTCTAGCTAATCTTTTGAAAATGCATGCTCTTTGTCCCCACCAACTAAAATAAATAAAACTTCACACGCTAGTTCATTGCTAGAATATCATGGAAACTCGTTACCGTGTAGACCGTGATACAAAGTTTTTAGATCCTAGATGTTATTCCTTTGGTTTTTAATGATCTATTTTAATGGTTAAAAGCTTAATTTCGTTTTCTGGTGAATTAAAAGGTGTATTTTCTCATACTGACTTGATGCATTTAAAATTTTATTTTTGACATTTTTTTCTTAAGAATCAAAATCTGTTTAACAAGAAAATGAGACTCCATCTTTGTAACCAGCGTAATTAACCTTTGTGGGTGATTAATTTTTAGTGATCTATACCTATCCAATATAACAAATTTTTTCATGTAAAACTAAGAAAAAAGAAAAATATAGAAGCAGATTATTAATGTGCTGGGGACATATTGGATATCAAAGGAATTAGGTGAAGCGATTGACAAGCTTGTTCTTTACGGTTATAATATATGACATTGATAACACTAAGTCTTCTATGATGAGGCCAAAGTCTGTCTTTTATAAATACTTTATTAAATTTCCCTTCAGACGGGTCTTTGGGGTTTATAATATACATTGGTTATTGAAACATTTTTCTGCAATCAATATGATTGATTGGAAATTAAAGTAATGTTTAGTTCATAGGATGATGGATAAGATAGTATAATAATCATTTTATATTATATTTGATTTGTATCTATTTGAAAATGATAGAATTATAAGGAGGATTATAATTCTCTCATTATAAGATGATTTAATTCTTTCAAAGTAGAGAGTATTATTTTTAATCTATGAGATTAAACTTACATGCCCTATTATACCCTCAACAATTATTTCAATAATTTAAATTATATAAACTTTAATGAAAGATAACTTTAACAATCAATAAAATATCTTATCTCAATCCTTACACATATCAAACATAAGATAGGATAATATTACCTTATCTTATCATAATCTTGTATACCAAATATGACTTAAATGCATTTCCAATAAAAGATTTACACTAGATTTCTCCCTTGTTGAATTTCAATGCATTGTCTTTCTCTTTTCACTTTCATTATGTGTTGCTTGAATTTGATGTTGGAAACTATATTTATTTGTCATATTCATAATCTCATCTTATCTTATCATATCATAATCTTGTATACCAAAGAAAACCGAAATATATTTCCAATGAAAGATTTACACTAGATTTCTCTCTTGTTGGATTTCAAAGCATTTTCTTTATCCTTTCACTCTCATTATGTGTTGCTTGAATTTGATATTGGAAACTATATTTATTGATTTATTTATTTATTTGTTATTGAAATTTTAATTTTTTTTTAAATCATAATCTACTCTTAAACCCTCTACCTTACTACTTACCTGATTGAAGAAAACATTACATGCTAAATTTCTCCCTTTTTGAATTTCATGCATTTTCTTTATCCTTTCATTTTCACTATGTGTTGCTTGATGTTGATGTTGGAAACTATATTTATTTATTTATCTATTTGTTATTGAAATTTTTATGCATTTTCTTTATCCTTTCACTTTTACTATGTGTTGCTTGAATTTGGCGTTGGAAACTATATTTACATATTTATTTATTTGTTATTGAAATTTTAAAGTTTTTTTTTTGATTCTAAACTACTCTTAAACCCCTCTACCTTACTACTTACTAGATTTCTTCCTTGATGAATTTCAATGCATTTTCTTTATCCTTTCATTTTCACTATGTGTTGCTCGATTTTGAAGTTGAAAACTATATTTATTTATTTATTTGTTATTGCATTTTATTCATTTTCTTTATCCTTTCACTTTCATTACGTGTTGCTTGAATTTGACGTTGGAAACTATATTTATTTATTTATTTATTTGTTATTGAAATTTTAAATTTTTTTAAATCTTAATTTACTCTTAAACACTCTAACCCTATTACTTATCTGACTGAGGACATTACGCGCTAAATTTCTCCCTTGTTAAATTTCAATGCATTCCTTTTATCTTTTCGCTTTCACTATGTGTTGCTTGATTTTGACGCTGGAAACTAAATTTATTTATTTATTTGTCATTGAAATTTTATGCATTTTCTTTATCCTTTCACTTTCACTATGTGTTGCTTGAATTTGACATTGGAAGCTTTATTTATTTATTTGTTATTGAAATTTTAAAGTTATGTTTTTGAAATCGTAATTTACTCTTAAATTTCCTATCCTACTACTTACCTAGCTGAAAAAAACATTACACCCTAGATTTCTCCTTTGTTGAATTTCAATGCATTTTCTTTATTCTTTCACTTTCACTATGTGTTGCTCGATTTTGACATTGCAAACTTTATTTATTTGTTTGTTGCTGAAATTTTATATATTTTCTTTATCCTTTCACTTTCGCTATGAGTTGCTTCAATTTGACGTTGAAAACTATATTTATTTATTTGTTGCTAAAATTTTATATATTTTCTTTATCCTTTCACTTTCACTATGAGTTGCTTCAATTTGCAGTTGAAAACTATATTTATTTATTTATTTGTTATTGAAATTTTAAAGTTTTATTTTTGAAATCCTAATATACTCTTAAACTCGCAATCCTACTGCTTACCTATCGTAATTTACTACTATATTTATTTATTTATTTATTTATTTATTTATTTGTTATTGAAATTTCAAAGGTTTATTTTTGAAATCCTAACATACTCATAAACTCTGAACCCAACTACTTACCTATCCTAATCTACTCTTAAACTCAATGCATTTCCTTTATCCTTTCATTTTCACTATGTGTTGCTTGATTTTGAGTTGGAAACTTTATTTATTTATATATTTGTTATTGAAATTTTATGCATTTTCTTTATCCTTTCACTTTCACTATGTCTTGCTTGAATTTGACGTTGAAAACTATATTTATTTGTTTATTTATTTGTTATTAAAATTTTATCTCCTTTATTGAATTTCAATGCATTTTCATTATCCTTTTACTTTCACTATGTGTTGCTTGATGTCATAACATATAGATCTATAAATCTATAGATAGATGTAATAAATAGAGTCACCACCAATCTTTTTTATCTAGGTGTGATTGGTCACCTAAAGAATCTATTCTCTTAAGGAGCTCCTAAGCTCAACTAAGGGTCCTTAAAAGATTAAGTTTGGATCTACTAACCAGAACATGGCTCGGGAGTTCGGTTATATGTGAGGAAGGTTATAACACCCCCACATGCCCATCCAAAGAATGGTACCATTTTATTTTAAATTTACCTAAGGTCTTGGTTCTAATAATTTTAAGTTTTTATGTTGAATATTGAAAATAATTCTTAAGACTCTTCATCATTCTGGCAGAATTCTTACAAATGCTTCCTTACCTCAAGAGTATTCAAGAATCCCATTTGATTTCTTGAAAAGGCTCCGTCGTCGAAAAAAGGTTTAATTATTTTTTTATTTTTGAAAATATATCTAATTATTCCATCATTTGGGCCAAATTAGAAATATTTTCTTGTTTTGAATTTCTAAATTCTCCACCATTTGGGCCAATTTAGAAAAAAATTTTTATTTCTAAATTTTTCACCATTTGGGTCAATTTAGAAATTTTTTTTTTCAGAATTTTTAAATTTTTCACAATTTGGGCCTATTTACAAATTATTTTTATTTCTTTTTTTTGAAAGAAAATAATACAACAATTTTTTTCTTGAAATTTCATTTAAATTCTTTCACCATTTGGGATAAATTTAAAAAAATTTCTCATCTAGAGATTTATTAGAAAATTTACCATTTGAAATTTTTAAGAATCTCATCATTGGATAATTGTCACATGTTCTTAATAAAATTTTATTTGGAAAAGAATACAATTAATTTCCATCTAAATTATTCCACCATTTAGGACAAATTTAGAGAAAATTTCTCACCTAGAGATTTCTTAGGAATTTACCATTTGAAATTTCTAAAAATATCATCCTTGGGTAATTTGTATTTAATTCCAAAATTTTTATATTTTTATGTTATATTTTTATATTTTTTATTATTTTATTTTGAAAGTAAATATTAATTATTGTTATTAAAATTTTATCTAAATTATTCCACCATTTGGGACAAATTTAGATAAAATTTTTCACCTAAAAATTTTATAAAAATTTACCATTTGAAATTTTTTATAAATTCCACTATTGGATAATTAATATTTATTCTCAAAGAATATTTTATTTTTTTCTTTTTTTATTTTGTTTTTTTAATTTAATCATGCAAAAATACTAAAAACAAACATATAAAGAAAATAAATAAAAGTACCAAAAACACAAAAAATACCAAAAAATAAAACGGCTTGACTGGAGGGTTTGGTGCAGCTTGACTCTAGACATAGGAAGCGATTGAAGGTGAAGCTTGGCGTGTGGCTTGGCTCGGCTCAGCAGCTAGGTTCGGTTGGGATGCAAGTCAATGGAATGGGTTGTGATCGAGTCGGATCACCCACTGGCAAAACGCGCGGATCCTGGGGTTTATTAAACTTCAAAACGACATCGTTTTAGCAGGGTATATAAGGCTCAAATTTAGCTTTTTTATCATATCCCCATTCTTTTCTCTCTCTTCCCTTTTTTTTCTTCCCTTCTTTTTACAAACCCAGAATCAGGTTAAATATTTTACCGAAAACTAGGAAAAGCTATCAAAAACTGGGAAATCACACCAAAAATTTTAAGTTTTGCCAAAAAATT